TCCTTTTTATCCGATTAAAATTTCAATTATTTATATGTAAAATCTGTTTTGATCAGAATATTTTTTCTCATTCCTAAGAAACGTCTTTAAAACGCTTTGGTTACAGTGAACATTAACGATATTTAAATCAACATGCAAGCGGTTTTATGACGGGTCCGACAGCATGGAATGGGAAATCTTTTGAATAATATAATTTTCTGTAATTTAAAAGTTTTGCGATATAGTTGAAATGGTATTGGTGGGTTACGTACCGATTACGTGTTCGACCTGCATGGTTTCGTACTGCGTATGTATGAGCCAACATGTGTATACAAGCACACAGGTGAATATGAACCAAGGTGTTTACAAACACACAGGTGTGTGGTAAACACACAGGTGTACGGTAGCTGTCAAGAGAGTAAAAGGCTTAATAGATATTTGTGTCAATTAGATTGTTTCTGTCATACAAATAGCACGAATAATGAATATTAAAGTACATATATTAAAAATTATTTTCTATCTTTCTAAAAGATTTTTCTTAAAATCATAGATTTTGATGTGTGTGTATTAGAATATTGTAGATCGCTTTTTTCATAGAAGAAAGTCTGTTTGAATGTTTTGGAAAGAACCCACAAATGCAGGGACAAGCTGCAGTGTAAACAATAACTAGATAATTAACATTCACACAATGACAGCCTTCTTTGAAGATCAAAATTAAACCTTCTTAACTGGTAAAATATAATTGCTTCAAAATTGCAATAATGAATGGTTTAAATAAAGATGATATTGTTCTGAATTCAAATGCATATCTGCCAAAGATCTACTAATAGTATGAGTATTCTGAGAAAATAATTGTCTTTTATAAATTTTTTTTTTAATTAACGATTATGCGACTCGAACCCCTGATTACCATAACTTCAAACCAGAATCTAAAGACTGATGAATTCTTCCTCTTGGTTGGTTACACTTTGCTGCTGAAACTATTAGTTGATATGAAAGAGATTTATCAAATATATATGAATTTTAATTATCGAAATTTTAATTTAACACGTTCAGGCGGGCATCAATACATGCAATTTTCTTCGCCTGCTGCAAATTTGTGCGTCTCAGGCAGTCGGGTGCACAGTTATTTCAAACACTGATTTAAGAATATGTGATTTGTGTTAAAATGTAAGTTTTCCTTACAGAAGAGAAATTTAATAGAAGAATTTTAAATTATCCTTTAACTGTTATCTCTTGGATTTAGAATGAAACCACTCAGGTCGTAAACACAAGGGTCAAACACATTTTTGAAACTTAACCACTCATATTTGCTAAAATGAAGAGAAAATGAAAAATTAAAATGATATGAAACTGTAGTTTTGTTGTCTGATGTTTTTCAAACATGTTGGAGTGAAATAAAATACAGAATAATATTCTCATGATTTTCTATCTCTGTTTCAGTGGTCATTTCATAAAAAAAATCTTTTAAAAAAAAAAAATTTCCCCACCTACCTACCCAATTTTTTCATCAGTGTCACCTGAAACACACAATTTTTTTTTTTAGGCCTAAGTAAAGGTAGGTTTTCTTGTGACAGTTGTGTTTATGGCTCTAAATTCGCTCTTGAGTACATCTTCTCCTATGATTTTAACGAGGAATATAAAATAAATAATTTAAACAATTGAAATAAGAAATGTTTTATATTGAAAAGTATATTGCAAATATATAAAAAAGATAAAATAAGCAGATTTTTTCATCCACTTACTTTTTTTTCTTGAAATGAATTTGATAATTCCACTAGAATTACGCATGTGTAGGGGGATATTTTCAACCATATCAAAATAAAAGAGTCTGACAAATATACGGCGATAATACCTTGTACACAGAATATCTTCATTCACTACTGTTTAGGAAAGATAGAATTAACATACAAAAGTATTTTAATGCACATTATGTCTAAAATAAAAGAAAAATTGGAATTTATTTCTTCTCATAATTTGAATGTAACGTCTGTCAGTCTCAATACACCGGGTACATTGTTATAAAATGGGCCATTGTTTATGCAAACTATTTTATCTTTCTTGTCTACTGATAGAAAATTTACCTATTTATCAATTAAGTGATCGCAGATTCAACAAAAAAGCAACTGTGCTTAGAAATTAACAAATCTTTAGGATGCTTCCTGTATCTGTCATGGCAAGTGGGCTTTACGTTCTATTTTAAAAATGGAGCTCGGAGATGCTTCTTCTTATACATTTGACTTAAAGGTTATGAATATTTAAATTTTCTCCAGTGTTCTTTATGCAAATGTGTTTACATTTCGATAAGAAGAGCTACAGAGAGAGCCCGAGAAGCCACAAACGTTTGTCAAGTGTTACATTACACAAAGTATGTTATGTTGATGAAAACATAAGTTGTCTTCATCCTAGATTTTAAACACATATCATCAAATATTGTCAACTAGTAGATGTATTTTGGATTTTTTTTTTAAATATGAACTTGCACGCTCTTCATCACTACATAAACACTTAAAATTTGACATTTCTTACATAACGTACCGATTGACAGACATTGCCTGAATACTATCGTAACGGTGATGGACAAAACGAATGTCGGTTCACGTTACGTGAATCAAATGGGTGCATTCAGATTTATACGTTCAGTGAATTAAATCAAAAAGTATTTTGATTTTAGAATATTAATGTATCATAAGGCAAAATTTGTCTTTATAACTTAAACAACACAATATTGTAGTTGTTTTTTTGCAGTTTTAAAACGAGTCTGTCAGGGTTACGTGCATCCAAACATGTTCAATATAAGTTTGATCTATATGAAATAATTTATTTTTTTTAATTTCATTTGTATTTTCATAAATAATAATGTCTTGTGTATTATAATTTCCAAGAATAAAAGATAAGCTTTGAATGATAAATTTTACTGCTCGTTTCAAACAGGTATTGCTCAAGAAATATCGTAACATGACAGACATGGTGGAAATTTTGTATGTTACAAAGCGTATAGCAGAGATTTATTTTTTAAAAATTCAAATTTAAAATCTATAAGGAATCAAAATTTGAATAATGTCCATTTCTTATGGCAACATTATCTTTTTGATAAAATAATGAAAGTTTATGGTTGATTTGGCTGGCTAAGTAAAGGAGTCTGTCAGTGTTACGATCACGCATCAAAAGTAGCTTAAAAATCTTTTTTTCTTCTATGTAAGAGTGAAAAAAAATTGCATTGTTTAATTTTATTTTATACAGATTATTTTTATTGCTAAGTAGCTGCAATAATGTAGCCCTCTCCAACTTTTTTTTTTGGGGGGGGGGGGAGGGGGGGGGGGGGATGGAGGGCTACAACTCCTTAGGATCTCCGTATTGGTGCAAGTGTGGGAGTGATTCACTACCGCACAGATTTCGACTCAAATTATCAGTAAGTGGGTATTTTATTAACATATCTTACCTGAACTCATAAAATGTAGTTATGCAAGACATGAATTGATCCAAAAATATACAGAACAATCTGTATATTGGTTATTTTTCGTGTATGTCAACATCACAACTTGCCATGTTTACTGACCTTGATCGATTTTATTTTGGGACAACCAATGAGAATTCGGGATCTAGGGGAGCGGATCATTCAGGATTTCCCTTATTTTAAGCATAAATATCACTGTTTATGGAAAAAAAATCACATGGGATGCTTTTATTTATCGGTGTTTAGTGATATCATACAACACAAGCATTTATTCACACCGACATTTACTTTATCAAGTGATTCTAAATTTCAAGCGCAAGTCTCCTTACATCACGCGAGAACTGTCATGGCTGCTGAAGAGAACGACAAGTAAACACGCAGATTTATTTTACTTGGTTTTCGCTTATAAAGGGCTATGATGTTGATACTGAATTAAAATTCCGTCTTATTGGAAGTAAGTTGAATGCAAAAGCAACTTATTTTGCCTGCAGTTGCCCGTATCTAAAAAATATATTTGCACCATTACGGAGATGCAGTGGAATTGTAGCCCTCTCCTGAAAATATCAGATTAAAAAAAATCAGAGAGGGCTACATTATTGCAGCTAATTGCTAAGTATCAGAAATGTAATATAATCATGCAACATTTTATTATATTTATATTTGCAAATGTTTTCTTTTATATAACACTATTAAAAGCAACGCGTATCTATATCCGTATAAACACAGGTTCCTCGCGTCATAAACTGTTCGGCGTAATTTCTCAGTGACGTCATAAAGGGTCGACGCGCAATCAGTGGATCAAACACGTGTCGGTGGATTTGAAAAATAAAACATTTCACGCGTTAAACATTATAATCAGACAAATATAAAATATGAATAAGTCACAAATGTAAATATAAGCAATAAGGTATAATTTTAAAACATCTATCGGGCAATAAATACGGGTTGGTACGAGATCAAATTTACCATAAAGCCCTTCGGCCTTTATGGAATTTGATCTCGTGACCAACCCATATTTATATCCTGATAGATGTTTAAAAATGATACCTTATTTCTTAAATACGTCTGTCATGTTACGTTATATCTCTGTCGTGTTACGTGACACACATTTCAAACGTTAATAAAATATTTATTTTTTATTTAATTATCTATTCAAACATTTTTTATCCTATTTAGAGTCAAAACTTCAAATACACATAAAGAAATCTAAAAAAAAAAAACCCGTGTCTACAGAATTCTTTATTTGTCCTCCCAGATGTACTCAAGAGCGAATTTAGAGTCTTATATATGTTGAAATTGACAGTATAACACGTCTGTTACGTACATATTCAGGCATATTGTAGAGGAAATGTCAGTTGAAATGTAGGCGTCACCGGTTCTAAATTTATACGTTTTCCAGAATCAAAACATGAAGGCTTGCGAAGGGAAGTGGATGTAGGCGAAAAGAGAATAGGTAAATGGGTAGTTCGAGGGGAAGTTCATGTAAACAGCTAGAGTAAAGTAGTCAATAGTTTTTTCTGGGGAAGTATAACAGTATCTATAACTGAAGCAAAAGTCCACATACCATATATCACCATGTTTCAGTTCGCGTTTTAGTAGTCCAGATATTTCATCTTTCTCTGCCTCCAAATTATGTTGCATACTTTCACTTTCACTAGTTCCGCCTTCTGCCATGCTGATGTTAAGGTAAGCCTTAAAAAAATCTACATTTCATTGGTTGCTACTTGAAGATCAAATCAACTCGTACCCAGATTACTCGAATATTATTCCTTCAACTGTTCAACGCAATATTCGCAGGGAAGGTAATATGCTGCAACCTGGTTAAGTTCCAGTATTTCCACCCTCGCAATTTTAATGGTTCAATATAGCAAAACTGCATTTATTTTCACTGAATATAGTTTTAATAAATTAAAACATTTGAAAAAAGTGTGTAGGTTGCCCCAGGGACCTATATACAATATATAGTATATAGGTCCCTGGTTGCCCCCCTTTTTTTAAAGACGTAAGAAATTTTAGAAATAAATTTAATTTTAGAAGATTCATGAGGACATGAACTACGACGCTTCACGCCGGCATATTTCATGAAGCGCGTTTGTCAAACTAAAAACGAAAATAAACAAAATGTGTTTGTGAAACATTGATGTCCACGTATGGCAACTTATAACGAAGGTTAAACTTTCTCAAATGCAAATCAAAAATGTTGGTACCCAAAGTAAGGTCTTGTAACGAGGAATATACCTGTGAAATATGAAAGCCCTAGCAGCAACCATTGATAAGATATGGAAAAGGTTAAAAAAACAAAATGTGTTTGTGAAACACTATGCCCCCGTATGGCAACTTATAACGTTGAGGTTATACTTTCTCAAATGCAAATCAAAAATGTTGGTACCCAAAGTAAGGTCTTGTAACGAGGAATATACATGTGTCTGTGAAATATGAAAGCCCTAAAAGCAACCATTGATTAGATATGGGAAAGATTAAAAAAAATTTCAAAAGTAAGTGATTAACATAATTTTCCTTTGTTTTCCACTCAAAAATAGGCTTAAAATGGCACTCTATTTGACCATCGACATGTGGCTGTGTCTTAATTCTGTCCTTAAGGTAGGTCGCGGGTTTACTGCATAAAAATTCTTACGAGAAAACATATCCTGAAAATCTTATATAATGTTCCTTAGAATTTGCGGCATATTATCTGAAATTTTTATTAAATTTGCCTACGTGGTTTTAATGCTATATTACTGTAAACGCGGTATAGTTTTCGGTACTATTTTTACGCTTTACTACAGTAATATATAGGAAAATGACGTTTTTAAAACAATTTTACCGAAATAGTTTCTCTAGAAAAGGTCGGATAACTTTTTTAAGACGTAGACGAATTACTCAGAAATTTAAAAATATCAAGATGAGGTCAAATTACAACTATTGAGGTGAAAAAATCAATATGTCTTCTCGCTAGTTTTTTTTTTTTTTTTTTTTTTTTTGCTAAATAATTTTAAAGTTTGCTTTTATATTGCCAAGATGTTGCGTTTATGGCGTTATTTATGAGTATAAACATCTTTATATTTGGAATATACAAGATCTAAAAGGTGACATAGATGCACACTGTAATTTTATTCAGCATTTCACTTATTGCGGAAACGTGTTAGGAAGAACAGCAACTTATCTACTCTAGTATTATAAAATTCATATTCTGCCCATGAAGTTTGATATACATGTAATATTGATATAAACATTCTCGTGCATTAGAATTAATATGCAACGACAACACTGAGATTGACAGTAAATTAATTCAAGTAATGTTAGGATGTTCAAGTTTAGCTGCAATAATGTAGCCCTCTCCGATTTTTTTTAATCTGATATTTTCAGGAGAGGGCTACAATTCCACTGCATCTCCGTAATGGTGCAAATATATTTTTTTGATACGGGCGACTGCAGGCAAAATAAATTGTTTTTGCATTCAACTTACTTCCAAGAAGACGGAATTTTTATCCACTATCAACATCATACCCCTTTATACGCGAAAACCAAGTGAAACAAGCATTCTGAGAGTATTGCATTAGCAATACTAGTCCCCTACCGGCAAGTGTAATCTGGTTCCCGTTAAGAATTGAAAATGCCATAATTCCGTCAAAAATTAATGAAGCGGAACGAAATGCAAACTTGATCTATAACTAATCAAGATAAAGCCACATACCAAAAATCAGCTCAATATCTACAAGCGTTTAGAAGAAAATTAATTGCGGAAAACCCGTAAAAATTAAAAAGACCGTAATTCCGTTAAAAATCAATGAAGCGGAACGAAATGCAAACTTGATCTGTAACTCATCAAGATACACTAACATACCAAAAATCAGCTCAATATCTGCAGGCGTTTAGGAAAAAAGTGCGGAAAACCATGTGGGACAGACTGACAGACAGACAGAGGGACAGACAGACAGACGGACGGACAGACTCAGAGGAAACCTATAGTCCCCTCCGGTTTCACCGGTAGGGGACTAATAACAACCCCTAGGTTAGAGCATGGCCACAGTAGGCCATTAAAGTTTTACATAGGAATATGTTGGAAATTTAAAAAAAAACAAGCATTCTGAGAGTATTGCATTAGCAATACTAGTCCCCTACCGGCAAGTGTAATCTGGTTCCCGTTAAGAATTGAAAATGCCATAATTCCGTCAAAAATTAATGAAGCGGAACGAAATGCAAACTTGATCTATAACTAATCAAGGTAAAGCCACATACCAAAAATCAGCTCAATATCTACAAGCGTTTAGAAGAAAATTGCGGAAAACCTTTAAAAATTGAAAAGGCCGTAATTCCGTCAAAAATCAGTGAAGCGGAACGAAATGCAAACTTGATCTGTAACTCATCAAGATACACTCACATACCAAAAATCAGCTCAATATCTGCAAGCGTTTAAGAAAAAAGTGCGGAAAATCAAGTGGGACAGACTGACAGAGGGACAGACAGACAGACGGACGGACAGACAGACGGACGGACAGACTCAGAGGAAACCTATAGTCCCCTCCGGTTTCACCGGTAGGGGACTAATAAATCTCCGTGTTTTCAGTCGTTCTCCTCAGCAGCCGTGACAGTTCTCGCGTGTTGTAATGAGACTTGCGCTTGAAATTTAGAATCACTTGATAATGTAAATGTCGGTGTCGATAAATGTTTGTGTTGTATGATATCATGAATATCGATAAATAAAAGCATTCCATGTGATATTTTTTTCATATACAGTGATATGTATGCTTAAAATAAGGGAAATCCATACAGATCCAAAATAAAGTCGATCAAGGTCAGTAAACATGGCGGATAAATTCAAGTTGTGATGTTAACATACACGAAAAATAACCAATATACGGATTGTTCTGTATATTTTTAGATCAATTCATGTTCTGCATAACTACATTTTATGAGTTCAGGTAAGATATGTTAATAAAATACCCACTTACTGATAATTTGAGGCGAAATCTGTGCGGTAGTGAATCACTCCCGCACTTGCACCATTACGGAGATCCTAAGGAGTTGTAGCCCTCTCCCAAAAAAAAAAGTCGGAGAGGGCTACATTATTGCAGCTAGTTCAAGTTCAGTATTAAGATTTCAAGTATAACAGGTGAATTTTATCATTTCATTCGAAATCGGTAAAAGAAAAAAAAACAAACAAAACAAAAAACAAAAATCACCCCACTACTGAGGAGGAGTGGTGGGGGAGGGGTTACCGGCAATGTTCTTTTTATATCAATCGCAATTCAGTATATAGTCCGAACTCTCAAACATTTATTCTTTCTTGTTTTGTTTTTTATCAAATTTGTAAATACTTGCATTCAGCTTATACACAGCTTATATTGTTGTAGAAAAAATTGTACTTTATACTTGTATTAATTTTCGTAATACATGTAGTGTATTAATATCTGTTTAGAGTGTCATAAAGGTCCGATATGCCAGGTGTTTGTTTAAATTTATTTTAACATGTTTAATGCATTTCACTATGATTAATCAATTCCTTGCTAGCTAGCCTGCATATAGAGAACTACTTTATCAGATTCAAATACAAAATAATGAAAAAAAAAAAAAGAGAGAGAGAGAGGAAAATGCATGTAATTAAATTTCATCCATTTTTAGTGTTGAGGATTGATTTTATCCTAAAAATAACAATTTTTTTTTCCGGCTGTGATGAGCAAACATTGTGTATTACGCACCTTCCCTTCGTTGCACATTACCATACAGCCTTTCAATTTTTCGGCTTCCGTTACTTTTATTTTGCATGCCATATCTTTAATTTAACACTGACTCATTTTGATTGACCTTTAGCAGTTAGTATAATTTACAATATTAATTATTCCTTTCATTTTGCATCGCATTTATTATGTTTTATTAGTTTGTTCTTATACATTACACATATAATCAGAGCAGAATTCAAACTTATAATTCTCTTGGTTCATACATTTACGATAATACAATTACGGACAAAAACATGTACTTTCTACGCTTCGTACGGACTAGATTCTAGTGCTAAAGTAATTTTCAGAGAAATAAAAGGGAAGCAATGCAACGTCGCCTTTGTGAAGTAACTGACGTCATAATCAAATGTGCATGCACAAAACAACCGCTCGAATCGTCGAAATTGTGTACCGAAATTGATGACAAAAGCAAACCCGCGACCTACCTTAAGCATGCGTCAAAATTTAATTCAAATTAGCTTCGCTTAGCGTTCACACGGGGCTAAATTTAATGCGCAGTAAACTAATTCGAATTAAACTAATTCGCATTAAATTCTCTGTGTGAACGCGGATCAAATTTAATTCGCAGTAACTTACGTTTAATTCGAATTAAACTCTCCGTGTGAACAGGGCATTAGTCGATAGTCGGTGTGATCGAACGATAGTCGAGTACTCGAATATTCGTTGACATCCCTAATATATATATATATATATTAGTGTTGTCAACGAGTACCCGGTTACCGGTTAACCGTCGAACGATGCGAGTATCGGTTACTTGAACTGCTATTCGGTTACTCGGACAAAAATACATAGTAAATACGTAGAAAATAAATGTTATATTGTTTATAAATGTATACTTACACATTTCCCATTTTTTTACCGTTAAACTTGATCTAGTGGTTCACAAATAGGATCGATTTGTTTTGATTAGTTTTCACAGTTTATATAATAATTATATAGTTTATATAGCTTTCATTGCCAGGGGGTATATA